CTATCTATCTATCTATCTATCTATCTATCTATCTATCTATCCATCTACCCATCTATCTATCTATCTATCTATCTATCTATCTATCTATCTATCTATCTATCTATCTATCTATCTATCTATCTATCTATCTATCTATCTATCTATCTTTACATTTCTTATATTACGACTTTCCAAAGGACACTCTGAAATATAAAGTTTATAACTAACGGCTATTAATATGTCAATCACAAATTACAATTACAATTACAAAATTTCCATTCTATGGCTGTAAAACTGGATGTTAAAGCTGTTATTTATGTCATTTATATAATTTTATTTGATGAAATTAAAGATGCTGAAAGTATGAGAGCTGAAAAATACAAAGAAATGTTTTTTGTTAAGTTGTCTTTGGAGTCTCTCTCAGTCTTGCATTTTAAAATCAATTTAAAAAACCCCCCAAAAACTATAAATAAAGTCTTCCACAGATGATCGGTTAAAAGGAGTTAAGTAAAAAATCTGCTTATATCTAAAAAAAAAAGCTTTTTAAAGCCTGTTCAAGTCAATTATTTCCCAATTCTGGGATCAATAAAGTACTTTTCTTATCTAATCTTTTGACTGTTGTGGGAGATCTCTTTAAAAAGACACTCAGAAAACTCACTTTTTGAAAACAAAAATGGATTTATTACCAAACTATTAGCCCTATTGGACTCACCCGTTTGTAGATGGCAAATATGGTCCCGATAGAAGCCAAACAGTCGATGTTACTGGACCCGTCCAGAGGGTCGAAACACACCACGTACTTTCCCTTAAAGGGGAATAAAAACTGTGTTAAATGCTAATAAAAACAAAAACATCACATAAACAAACACAGGTCCTCAGTTTAATCGAGTTAATCTGATCTGGCTGTTATTTTCCTTTACATACAGGCACTTTGTGTCCATTTTCTCTATTTTTACACATAGAAGCATAAGAATATTACTTTGGTAATTTATCCCTTTAAAGCCTGATCCAAGAATAAAACAAAACAGAAAATTAGTTGTTTTTTTTGTTTGAATTCCTTATTTGGCCTTTTAACAAAATATGTAAAAAGAAAAAACAGAAACCTATTTTTATTATTAATAATTTATTACTATGTGATAAGTCCAGATTATTTTTTGTGTAGTCTTCTGTTATCAGGTGTATCTGATTGTGTAAATTAGGATTTTGAGCAAAGTTTTTACCATTAAATTATGCAAAAGGAGTCAGACGCAAAACATTTCAGAATAAATTCTCTATATCTACCTCTATCTCAAAAGCGTAATTAAAGGGAATTTTTAAAAAACTGACAAAATGAACCCCATTTATCACAAAAAAGGGTTAAATTTGGGGACTTCTGGAATTCTTTCCAGAAGTCTAATTGGCCAGTTTTTAAAAAAAAAGTGCATCTTATCTTAAATAGGAAGTTAACCTGAGTTAACCTGGTTTTTATGGATTAAACCCCACTGAATCTTGATAAAAACCCTAACCCTGGTCCTCCTAACCCTAACCCTAACCCTAACCCTAACCCCCTACCCTCTTGTCCTTTGGGGTTATGATGAGTCCCTGGTCCTCCTAACCCTAACCCTAACCCCCCCTCACCCTAACCCTAACCCTAACCCTAACCCTAACCCTAA